CTTGACTTCCTGTCCTCCCTTCCCACTCTTTAATTCTGGCATTATGACAAAGGAAGTAAAAAAAGAGAGCAGAAATTAGGCAAGTCAGAAAAGATGTTTATGCCTACCTTCTTCCTTATGCATTGTTCATAGTGAATAAGGAGGGAGGACTGGGTCTCCATGATGCAAACAACAATCCATACCCATGGAGCAGTCCTGCAATGTTCCCTCCCCCCTTTCCAAGAGGCAGAATAGTATTTTGACCCGATAGATTTCTAAATAATTATTTTTGTATTAGCAAACAAATAATGATATTCAGACAAGGTAATGAGAAAGATTATTATTGGCTGCATAATAATCAGCTCAAATCAACTCATACTCTGTCTTTCCTTCAACATAAATATCAAGTTTATCCTTCCTTATCAAAGCATATAGTTGTTCATATATTTTAATAACCAGTATGGAAAAATTTTGAGTTGCAAATTTTTGTGATTGGGTTTATGTCATTCAATAAACTGCTATTAATCTATGGGTTATTAAATAAATCATCCTTTAGGTTTAATACAATATGAGATATGATATACCGGTGAAACTCAAAAAATTAGAATATCGTGCAAAAGTCCATTTATTTCAGTAATGCAACTTAAAAGGTGAACCTAATATATGAGATAGACTCATTACACACAAAGCAAAATAGTTCAAGCCGTGATTTGTCATAATTGAGATGATTATGGTTTACAGCTCATGAAAACCCCAAATCCACAATCTCAGAAAATTAGAATATTGTGAAAAGGTTCCATATTCTAGGCTCAAAGTGTCCCACTCTAATCATCTAATTAAGCCATAACACCTGCAAAGGGTTCCTGAGCCTTTAAATGGTCTCTCAGTCTGGTTCAGTAGGAATCACAGTCATGGGAAAGACTGCTGACCTGACAGTTGTACAGAAAACTATCATTGACCCCCCTCCCATAAGGAGGGAAAGCCTCAAAAGGTGATTGCAGAAGAAGTTGGATGTTCCCAAAGTGCTGTATCAAAGCACATTAATAAAAAGTTATGTGGAAGGGGAAAGTGTAGAAGAAAAAGGTGCACAAGCAGCAGGGATGACCGCAGCCTGGAGAGGATTGTCAGGAAAAGGACATTCAAAAGTGTTGGGGACTTTCACAAGGAGTGGACTGAGGCTAGAGTCATCAAGAGCCACCACACACACACAGATCCTGGATATGGCCTTCAAATGTCGTATTCCTCTTGTCAAGCCACTCCTGAACAACAAACAACGTCAGCAGCGTCTTACCTGGGCTAAAAAAACACAAACTTGTCTGTTGCTCAGTGGTCCAAAGTCCTTTTTTCTGATGAGAGCAACTTTTGCATCTCATTTGGAAACCAAGGACCCAGAGTCTGGAGGAAGAATGGAGAGGCACACACTGCAAGATGCTTGAAGTCCAGTGTGAAGTTTCCACAGTCTGCGTTGATTTGGGGAGCCATGTCATGTGCTGGTGTTGGTCCAATGTGCTTCATTAAGTCCAGGGTCAGCGCAGCAGTCTACCAGGAGATTTTGGAGCACTTCATGCTTCCTTCTGCAGACGAGCTTTATGGGGATGCTGACTTCATTTTCCAGCAGGACTTGGCACCTGCCCACACTGCCAAAAGCACCAAAACCTGGTTCAGTGACCGTGGGATTACTGTGCTTGATTGGCCAGCAAACTCACCTGACCTGAACCCCATAGAGAATCTATGGGGCATTGCCAGGAGAAAGATGAGAGACATGAGACCTAACAATGCAGAAGAGCTGAAGGCCGCTATTGAAGAATCCTGGTCTTCCATAACACCTCAGCAGTGCCACAGGCTGATTGCTTCCATGCCACGCCGCATTGAGGCAGTAATTGCTGCAAAAGGGGCCCACACCAAGTACTGTGTACATATGCATGCTTATACTTTTCAGAGGTCCAATATTGTTCTATGTACAATCCTTGTTTTATTGATTGCATGTAATATTCTAATTTCCTGAGATTGTGGATTTGGGGTTTTCATGAGCTGTAAGCCATAATCATCACAATTATGACAAATCACGGCTTGAACTATCTTGCTTTGCATGTAATGAGTCTATCTCATATATTAGTTTTACCTTTTAAGTTGCATTACTGAAATAAATGAACTTTTGCACGATATTCTAATTTTTCGAGTTTCACCTGTAAATGCTATTGTTATAACATGCTAGTTAGATCATTTTAACATCCTTACATTAATTATTCTTGCATTTTCAGCTTAATGCCATAGCACAACTCTTAACTAAAATCTTTTAAAAATATATAAGTTCCATTTCCCATTTCTCAAAAACAATGTTAAAATATATACTGAAGTAGCATCTTTTAAAAAAATTACACTATGTGCAAATAGAATATGCTAAAAATGAAGAAATTTGTGAAGAACTAAGTTTAACTAGTCTCACAGTCTTCATGTTTCCATAAAAACATCTTAAAGTATTATTTATGCATAAGTTGTTATATGCTTAAATTATAATGAGATACATTACACAATTAAGGGAATGTTATCAAGAACAGGACATACCGGCATCTTTAATCCAATCATCATAAATCAGTACAGCCTTCCCAGTTAAATTATTAAATGCCATTTTCACAGAATTGCATAGGATTCAGGATTCTTCCTGAAGGCAAGTAGGATAGTGTATGTTATGAAATCTGTAAGAAAAAAAAGGAATGGTAGTCTTTTCAGAATTTAGAAAACCAAGTAGATGATTGTTATGGATTTACAATATTTGCATAATATCATTTTCTGCTTTAAAGTAGTTTATTGCCCATGTGTGATGACCCAGGGTGAGCTACAAAAGGAACAAAGCCCCAAAAACAGGTGAAGTCCCTTTAATTCCTTCAACTTGGCTTCAAAGGTACAAATATCATTGACTGGAGAAAAAACTCCCCCACAAACAGTTGCAAAAAGGAAGAACTTCTGTTCAAACTCAAAATACATATAAATTATAAACAGAAAAAAACAAACACAAACCACACTTAAGAATTAATGAGACAAGGCAGGATAAGGGCTTGAAGATGTCTACAGATATTGAAATACACACACTGGGAAGGACGCCAGAACTCAGCTAAGAACTGACAGACTAGAAATATTTTCATGCTTTGCTTCCAGCACTGGCCCATGCGCAGTTTGTCCTTTTAAACAGTCCTCAACGCTGCAGCCCATGAAGAGGATCAAGGCCCTTTCCTCCCCCGTAGACCACGCCATTCACGTTTCTCCCTTATTTGCTCCTCCCTGCCTGCCCTAAGATGAAGAGGGGATGGACCTGGGTCTTCCTCTGAATGCCCAGCCGGCCTGTGCCCTTCCCCAGTTTCCCCCACAACCTCCAGAGCCACACTCCCACTCCCTGTCAGCTGCTCCTCTACCTGGGAGTTAGATTCTAACAGGGGCATGACACCATGTAAATAATAGTCACATTATGTTATGTCCTTATGCACCCATGTAAGTAATGTAGTCATGTTATGTTCTGTCCTTATGCACTTAGAAACACAACTCTAAGAATCATTTTCCACAAATAAGCCTTAAGTAGTGACCAGAACCAAAATGAAGATCAACTTCATGACTGTAACTAAAGCAAAGAACAATTTGAATATTCAAATAATACTATCAATAGTGCTACAACTACAATACACTGAAAACCATTTCTATATTTATCAAACTTGATTTTCCCATTTTTCTCTGCTGAAGTTATGAAGATATTGGGCAACAAAGATATGAAAATTTAAACACTGTTTTTCTTATTTATATTTATTCTTTATTTTTCTTATTTATTTTATATTTACTTATAAACAGTAAAAAAATTCATTTTGCTCAGGAACATAACTATGATTAAAATTGAAAACTCTCGTAATATGTTTATTTACAGCATGAAATTGATATACCACCTCAATCCTACTTAACTATGCACTCTACAATATATTATACTGATACAATATTAAATATTATAGTATTAACATATATTAAAAGACAATAGCAATTATGCAATAATGCATAAAAATATGACCAAGTTAATACTTGTCATATTGCAATTTAGTAAACGCAAAGTTTTCATATTGCTATGATAAGGAACAAGAAACTTGCTCCTTTTATTTGTAAATCTTTTAAAATACCATACTTTATACCTTTACTTAAACTACCACTGTTGGAAAAAGAATTCTCCAAAAATTAAAGATTTTTCACTATTTGCCAGCAGTCCACATAACTTGCTATACAACTGCCATTCAGTGTACATGCCCTCCTAGTACGACAGTGTATGTGTTTCATCTCATCTCGCATCATTCATTATATATTCTACTGCAATCATTTGGCCTTTCAGTAGTTCACAATAACAAAAAATACAGCAATAACATAATGCTCACTAAAGCATCAATGATAAACTAAAATCAACACTACTGTAACAAATAATTAAAACTCACAGCCCAATGGCACATGCTTATTTATCACAAGCTCTCCACAATAGTTGTTTTTCATATTTTGCAGAAAACCAAAAAAAAGGGACAAAACTAATTTCTAGAAGGAATCTTTTCTAGAAGAAAGGTACAAGACACAACAAGACAATGGTTGCAAACCTCAGCATGTTTCACCACACTGAAACCATGGACTAGTAGCTGTTTCTTCTGGGATACTTAAATTGGACTGATTCTGACTGAAGAAAATTATCAGTGTAAAACCGAATTGGGCTGTATAGGTTAAAAGCAGCACTGGAAGCCAAGAAGAAGTGTAAGTGTAAAATACGATATTAAATTTGATTGTAGTGATAAGGGTCAACCAACACTCTAACCCTGACAATTCTTTTGACTATTATTATATAGGGCCTCACTCGGCCCTACTGGAAACCAGCAAATTAGTGATGCCAACTAAATGTGATGTCCCAACTCAATCAAATATCACTAAGTACTTTCCAATCTCCACAAATACCCAGTAATCATATTAACTAGTGCATGCAGCTATAGTCCCCTCATTAGTGATTATCCCCCAGCGTTAGATTCCCTGTCACATTGTACGTGGGTGTGGCTAGCTGGTTCTTATTTGTTTATGTAATAATTTTTATTCTGCTGTTTTGATTGTACGCTGTCCAGAGTCAGTTTGGAGTTGGGCAATGCCTAAAATGTATAAATTTTCTCTCTCACCCAAGACAGCTATTCCCGTTCCACTCACACTTGGAGTTCTTTTGACGATAGACCTGCCTGAGTTCACCAGCCTTTAAAAGCCAGGGTCCTTGACACACCACCACCACTGATTCTATGCTGAGTAGCCTGGTCCAAAATTCAACCTTTGTTCTCATGCACTCCAATCATTTTCAAATCATCAAATCATCAGTAATTTTCTACAAACTTCCACTGCCTCTGTATGTCCAGGAATACATATAAATCAGGTTTCTGCTCTCTAACTCATTGATCCATGTAAAGTTAATGCAATTTGGAAAGTGTCCAAATCGACACCAACACTCACCACTTTATTATGTGGCAAGGCAAGGCAAGCTCTCCAAAGATCTCATCTTCAATGGGACATTCTTCTGCAACCTTAATAAGGTGTTGGGACAACAGTGATGGACCAAATCTTGCATGACAGTCTTTCAAAAACATTGGCACACTCTACTGATCACTATCACCTCAAGATACTTAACTGGCAGAGCACTCCAACTGAATACCTGTGTCCAGGCAATTTTAATATTTAGCATCTTACATTTAGCATCTAAATGCACTTATGCCAGACAGATATCAGATTAAATATAAACATAATGGAAATCTTTATTTCCATGAACTGTGACCAATCCTAGCTTCTTCTAGATTTAAAAGATTTCTCTATTACTCGTTGATAAATAAGAATTTAAAGCTAGTAGTACCCTCTAAAAGCCTATTTAGTGTAATGGCTAAGGTATTAGGCTAGAACCTGGAGACTGTGAGTTCTAGATGTGGCTTAGATATGAAGCCAGCTGGATGACCTTGGATCATTCTCTCTCCCTCAGGCCTACGAATGGCAATTGGCAAATCATGTTTGAGAAATCTTTCTTGAGAAAGAAAAATGCAGGAGTTTGTCCAGGTAGTTGCCAGGAGTCAATGTTTGACTTGAAAGCACATTACACACACACACACACACACACACACACACACACACACACACACACACAAACAACAACACCCCATTCTCTGTACAGATTACTATCACAACACACTACCTACTGTGTACAGTAGTGTTCTGTGTACAGATAACCGTGTAGAGATTTCAGTACAGCAAAATCTTCCCATTTTATTGCTATATAATCTTATCATCAGTTTATACAAGAATCATTCTTACCATGTTTAGGCCAATCTTATCATCAGTTTACAGAAGCATCCTTACCAATATTAGGCTAGGTTTCAGACATAAGTTCAGGACAAAATCTTTAGATTGCATAGTAAGTATCTTGATGTTTATCTACTTTACTTTCAGAAAGTATGTTAGTGAGTATATTAGAATCTTAATGAAGGCACATAAAGAAATTCATATGTTAACAAACTCAAAAAATGGGAAGCAATTGATTCTTTACAGAATAGCATTGCTTTCTGCAAGCAGTATGCTATTATTAATAGAATATATACAACACTTCAGAATGCATGAAGTATTTTGTTCAACTCAGAAACTTATTGTTCAAGTCAGAAAGTTTTGCTTTGCTTAAGAATCATGTGGAATTTTAAGAGGAATTAAATAAGCTGTTCACCTTGTTTAGGTTGCACCATACCCTCAGACAGTTCGGGGTATGCAGGGACTGGACTGGACTATAATGCTCAAAAACAGCACTGTGATCTTTCAGGGAACAACCATTTACATAGACAAATGATTATAAACAAAGATGCACAGAGATTTGTTCATCAGCTGAATGGGTCTTCTATTGGATTCTTACTAGAAACGTATTTTCATAAGCTGTAATACTCTATTTGAGTTTTTAACCAGTTATGGCAGGGCTGTCAAACTCAAGGCCCGGGGGCCAGATGAGGCTCAGGGGGTGCTTAGATTTGATCTGTGGGGTTGCCCTGGAAACAGACTGTCTACTATTAGACTGTCTACTATTGACCTCACTCCTTTCCTAAGAGTAGGGGGCGTGCATAAGCGCACCAACATGCCTACCGTCCCTGTCCTATTGTTTCTTTTATTTTTCTTATATGTACCCATTTCATGTATTCATAACTATGTATATACTTATACCTATTATCTTGTAAGCGATTGACAAATCAAATAAATCAAATAAATAAATAAAAACAGCGAAGGACAGGCCCGTAGTGCCTTTGCCAGTGAAAACAGGCTCCCAAACTCAATTTTTGGCTGCGACAATCTCATGCAACTATCTGCCAGTGGAAATAGAGCTTGGGAGGGCCGCGTGCTACATTTTCCCTGGCAGAGGGTTGCAGGAGATTGTCGCAGCAAAAAATGGAGCTTGGGAGCCCGTTTCCTCTGACAAAGCGCTCAGGCCATCACAGGCACCCCTAACACGTGTGACATCAAGCTGGCCATGCTCCCTGCCCATACCCCCCCCCAAAGTCAAACACAACCCTAATGCAGCCCTCAATGAAATTGTGTTTGCACCCCTGAGTTATGGGGTTGTTGTTATGGGGCTGTTCCTCCCATATCTAAGACATAAGACTGCATGCATAGCTGCAAGATTGCAATCATG